TTATGGAGAACATGATGCAGGGCAATAAGATCAGACGAGTTGCAGCTACTCGCATGAATGAGAGGTCATCTCGATCACACACGATTTTCCGGATTATTCTGGAGTCGAAAGATGCCAATCAGAAAGATGGACCTGTACATATAAGCTACCTTAACTTAATGGACTTAGCTGGTTCTGAGAGAGTTTCTCTGACGAAAGCTGCTGGTGAGCGTCTTAAAGAGGGGGCTAACATAAACAAATCTTTGTCAGTATTAGGAAATGTGATAAGGCAACTAAGCGAGGGGAAGGAGTTTATCAGTTATCGCGATTCGAAATTGACTAGACTGCTCTCACAGGCTCTTGGCGGTAATGCCAAATCATTGATTATCGGGAATGTTACTTTAGCTGCAGAGGAGGAGACTAGATCTACACCAGAATTCGCCCAAAGCACTAAAACTGTCAAAAATAAAACGAAAGTAAACATCTTGTCAGCTACAGAAGAGACACTTCAAGGATATCAGAACTTGACTCGCGATCTCGAAACTCGGCTCAAAAAGCAGGCAATTAAGCTAAAAGAGATGGATAAAAGCAAACAAGAGTATCTGCTCGAGATAGAAAGACTAAAAACGGAAGTATCTATTGTCGGGCGCTTTCAAATGGGAGCCTCGGCATCAACACCGAAAAAAACATTAAGACGTCATACTTTTGGACACTATGGCAACGTATCACCTAAAAAAGCATCCCTAGGGTATATGCCATTGAAAAATTATCCACCCAAAGAAGAATCATCCGGACGTGAAATGAGGCCTATTCAAGAAGAGACATATGAGGAGGCACTAGCCGAAGCAGAATCTGTGATAGCTGAAGACGTGCAAGTGTACTTAAAAGACAACTCAAAGAACTGGAAGAATCTTTCAATGAGCTTAGAGAATTCACTAAACTAGATAATCAGCTGGAGATTTTGGACCTGAAGAAACAGCTCACAGAAGCCAATTCTAAATTCGATCGTTACAGTCAGGAACTCCGCCAAGTAACGGATGCGTACAACAAGAAAGAAATAGAAAGAGTTCAAAAAAATTCTCAAAAAGCGCAAGAATTTCATCGACTTGCAATACAGACTCGATTTTCTGGAAAAAAATAATAAAAAGACTAAAAACATACGAGTCAGAAATAGAGATGCTGCGTACTCAACTGAAGAACCTAGGAAGATCAGAGAGCCCTAAACCATCTCTTGAAGCTCAAAATATTGAGTCAAAAAAGAAGGTTGCAGACTTAGAAGCTATGCTTGACGCTGAGTACGAAGATATGCAACATTCTTTAAGTGCTGCTGCACAAACTGATGTAACGATGTCACACATTGCTGAACTGCAAGATGAAATTGGCTTCCTAAAAGAACTTGAATCTAAACTGAGAAATGACGTAAAGAGTCTGATGGACGAGAGTAACCAACGTGAGGTCAACCACTCATTTAAAATCTCAGATATACGATGCCATAATGATTCTACTATAAAAGAGCTTCAGGATCAAATGGCTGAACTGGAATGCCAAAACGAAATCTGGATTATGAAAAAGGACGACGAAATCAGAAAATTGCAACAACTAATTACAAACCCGAAGCAGGCTGGCACTTAACCAGAACCACCTGTGCAGGAAGACGTTGCATTTTATAGGGAGCAAGTTGAGTTCTCCCAGAACATGTACAAAAATGAGATAATAGGTGGAGAGTTACGTATAAACCATAGAGAAAATCTTCAGGCAGTTAAACTAGAAATATGTCTACCCTTGTTTAGTGTTTACGATTATTGCAGGGTTTGGACAAAGTTTAGGGCTGATCCCAGTGCTCACAGTGTACAATTTTCAGCTAATAAATCTTGAATTCTGAGGTAACAAAATCAACTAGAACTCTGAAAAAGTGATTTATCAGAAATCATGCCCTTACTTCCATGATAAGAGGGATTCGTAAAAATTATAAGCAGGTTGTGGCTTATTATCTAGTAAAAGATACAAGAATCCCAGATCTGAAAACGATTATTGTTCATGTGATCACAAACTAGCAGCGACTTGGTTTGTGCGTTGTTGGCACTATTTCTAATCAGGGCGCAACGATCAAAAACGCACTTGAGACGATTTGCTCGGAGAATACTCACGGATCAAGTCCATTCCATTTTATAGTCAATGCTCAGAGTATTTCTACAATTTGTGATGAACCACATTTATTCAAAAATGGATGAAATGCTCTTATTGACATTAATATGAAAGTGAAGAAGCTGCACAGATTGAACATGTCTAAATCATATAATGTTGATCAGCAAACAAGACCATACAAAGAGCTATGTAAATTGAAACCCAGCCACTTTGATTTTATAGATTCGTTCAAGAATATAGAAATTAATCCTTTAATGATATCGTCGGATGATTCGAGCTTTCTCAGTTATGTGGTGGGGGTCCCGTGACTTCTCATACGGTATGAGCACGTATACCTCAAACCACAGTTTAATTTAAACATCACAATTGTTGGTTTGTTGACTTTGCGGTCAAATTTGATCCGAGGATGTCAGTTGCGTGTACGATTTGAACTTCCTTCACAATGGATTTTTTCGTTGTTGACGGATGAACAATACACTATAGACTACGCCGAGGACGACGCTGCTATCGATCAACCTGAACAACTTCCTATGGGCGACCTCGCTATGCCTATGGAAAAAACATGTACAATTGGTCAAAACGAGCGCCTGCAACTGGTCGATTATTACGCATTTACCTGAACTAAAGTCCGTGGCAACCAATTTGGAAAATAATAACCCTGTGACTCGAGAAATGCCGATAAATTTCTCCAAATACGTGAAATTTTCGAGACACTCATAGAGAACTGTCGAAATTGTTATATTTCGGGTGAGTCCCCTACAAAATACGAGATGCTCGTGGGCCGATGTCCTTCCTGTGCCTACAAGAAAACTAAACCGAATAAGTATGGACTGATGATGCAAAGACTCACCACTACCTGCTCAATGCTTTCGTCTATACGAACAGAAATATCACAGCAGATGACTGGTTCACGTCAGTAGAATTACATGTAGAATTGCGCATCAACCAACTGACCTATGTCGGCAGGAAGCGTAAAAATAAGTAACAAGTACCCCAACATGTAGTTCCAAATAAGAAGGAAACACAGCCAGGTACTTCTAAGTTTATGTTGTAGCCTTAGAGTAGTATCTTCCAAAACCAAATACACATGTTCTCGTATAGCAATCTATGCAGCATGATAACAAAATAGTAGAGGAATCAAAGAAACCTGATAAGATCCTATATTATTTTTATAACACTATGAAGGCGGGGGGGTAATGCATTAGATCGGAAGTGTGTAAATTACAATACTGGTTAGAGAACGAGAAGATGGCCTTGTGCTATTTGGTATCCAACCAGCTTCTGTAAATTCCTTTTTTTTTCAGTCTGGGACTGAAAGTTCCATTAGGCGACGAAATTTTATTGTTCCCCTGAGGCAAACTCTAATTTAACTTCGTATGAGAGGACGTTTATCAGATCCAAGACTTCCTAGGGAGCTTCGTTCAGCCATGCAAAGAATCCTAAATTACCAACGACGAATAAAGTAAGCCGTCTACTTCTCAGCCCAGAGTTCTCGATCCTGATGCAGTTGTTAAAGAAAAAAAACGACGTACGTAGGTGTTACATGACAATACACAATGAAAAAAATGTTCTACAATCTGTAATAAGTATGTAAAGTCACAGCGCACTTACATTGTTTCGTGAAAAGTGATAAATGTTAATTATTGTATGTTTCCTTATACGAGAAAGTATTTGTTTTTGTTGTAGAATATCAACACCAAATATGTTGTTAAATGGCCCATTTTGTTAGTTTTTTTATGTTCATATTACAGTTCAAGTTTCGAGGATTATATTTATTGCATTACTCATCTTCAATGGGGTATTTTCGTTTTTAGACAATAAACAGTTTTCATGTAAGAGTGTCTTATGCGTACAAACCTGTTGTACACATGGCTAAAAACAGTAATGGCATTTCAGATGTTGATAGTAAGATCCGGTGGATAACCTGTTTTGCGAGATTAGACGTGGGATTTCCAACACGAACACCATCTGTTTATTTGAAGCATTAAAAACTGTAATAATCAACAATTTCAGTTTTCCATTGACAATAATGAAGAATTATGAAGGCGATTCATGTAAGGCACTAGGTAACTTCGCGTTGCTTTTAGAAGAGTATTGTCTGAATAGACAACAGTTACCTTGTGATTCTTCACCGAGCTGCATTTTTCAAGTTGAAAAATCGGGTGCTGAAAGTGATGGATCTATAGATTTGTGAGAATTTGCTGCTGCTTCAACTTTTTTGTAATAACAATAACAGTCTATATGAAATTTAACAATTCTGTTTCTTCTTTGATTTTGAGTCACCCTGTAAATGTAGCTCTACTAAACTATCGGACCGCATTCATAGCCTACAAGAGAAAAAAATCTTCTATACTGGAAAGGAGGAAAAAAAGAATGTATCAACCTGATACATCTGCCCCTCTTTATAACCCGTGAAATAGCCCTAGTTCTAATTAAATTTCAGTTCAAGCTTCCAAAATGACTTCCAACAATATTAAAGTAGCCACAAAGATCAGACCAATGATCCACCGCGAAGTAGCCGATGGTCTAGAGCGTCTTTGGAACGTAAGAGTAAACTGCATATGGGAAGCCGATGAAAGTAGTCGCCATGGAGAGGTTTATATATTCGACCATGTATTTAATCAGGAATGTACAAATTCAGATGTATATGGATCTGTAGTAAAACCTTTAGTCGATTCCTTCATGGAAGGTTTCAATGCCACAATATTTGCATATGGCCAAACATCTTCTGGCAAAACACACACCATTTTGGGCAATAAAACAGATCCTGGGCTTTTCCAATTAGTATCCAATCAGTTATTCCAGCATGTGGCAGACCAGGTTGATAAGAGGTACTTGATTAGATGCAGTTATATTGAAATCTACAATGAAAAGATCAATGACCTCCTGGATAAGAGCAATCAGGGTTTAACTATGAGAAGATATCAAAGGAAATGTGCTGCTTGATGCAAGGGAAGCTGTCGTAGACAATGTTGATAAAGTTATGGAGAACATGATGCAGGGCAATAAGATCAGACGAGTTGCAGCTACTCGCATGAATGAGAGGTCATCTCGATCACACACGATTTTCCGGATTATTCTGGAGTCGAAAGATGCCAATCAGAAAGATGGACCTGTACATATAAGCTACCTTAACTTAATGGACTTAGCTGGTTCTGAGAGAGTTTCTCTGACGAAAGCTGCTGGTGAGCGTCTTAAAGAGGGGGCTAACATAAACAAATCTTTGTCAGTATTAGGAAATGTGATAAGGCAACTAAGCGAGGGGAAGGAGTTTATCAGTTATCGCGATTCGAAATTGACTAGACTGCTCTCACAGGCTCTTGGCGGTAATGCCAAATCATTGATTATCGGGAATGTTACTTTAGCTGCAGAGGAGGAGACTAGATCTACACCAGAATTCGCCCAAAGCACTAAAACTGTCAAAAATAAAACGAAAGTAAACATCTTGTCAGCTACAGAAGAGACACTTCAAGGATATCAGAACTTGACTCGCGATCTCGAAACTCGGCTCAAAAAGCAGGCAATTAAGCTAAAAGAGATGGATAAAAGCAAACAAGAGTATCTGCTCGAGATAGAAAGACTAAAAACGGAAGTATCTATTGTCGGGCGCTTTCAAATGGGAGCCTCGGCATCAACACCGAAAAAAACATTAAGACGTCATACTTTTGGACACTATGGCAACGTATCACCTAAAAAAGCATCCCTAGGGTATATGCCATTGAAAAATTATCCACCCAAAGAAGAATCATCCGGACGTGAAATGAGGCCTATTCAAGAAGAGACATATGAGGAGGCACTAGCCGAAGCAGAATCTGTGATAGCTGAAGACGTGCAAGTGTACTTAAAAGACAACGCAAAGAACTGGAAGAATCTTTCAATGAGCTTAGAGAATTCACTAAACTAGATAATCAGCTGGAGATTTTGGACCTGAAGAAACAGCTCACAGAAGCCAATTCTAAAATCGATCGTTACAGTCAGGAACTCCGCCAAGTAACGGATGCGTACAACGAAGAAATAGAAAGAGTTCAAAAAAATTCTCAAAAAGCGCAAGAATTTCATCGACTTGCAATACAGACTCGATTTTCTGGAAAAAAATAATAAAAAGACTAAAAACATACGAGTCAGAAATAGAGATGCTGCGTACTCAACTGAAGAACCTAGGAAGATCAGAGAGCCCTAAACCATCTCTTGAAGCTCAAAATATTGAGTCAAAAAAGAAGGTTGCAGACTTAGAAGCTATGCTTGACGCTGAGTACGAAGATATGCAAGATTCTTTAAGTGCTGCTACACAAACTGATGTAACGATGTCACACATTGCTGAACTGCAAGATGAAATTGGCTTCCTAAAAGAACTTGAATCTAAACTGAGAAATGACGTAAAGAGTCTGATGGACGAGAGTAACCAACGTGAGGTCAACCACTCATTTAAAATCTCAGATATACGATGCCATAATGATTCTACTATAAAAGAGCTTCAGGATCAAATGGCTGAACTGGAATGCCAAAACGAAATCTGGATTATGAAAAGTGCCCCTCTTTATAACCCGTGAAATAGCCCTAGTTCTAATTAAATTTCAGTTCAAGCTTCCAAAATGACTTCCGACAATATTAAAGTAGCCACAAAGATCAGACCAATGATCCACCGCGAAGTAGCCGATGGTCTAGAGCGTCTTTGGAACGTAAGAGTAAACTGCATATGGGAAGCCGATGAAAGTAGTCGCCATGGAGAGGTTTATATATTCGACCATGTATTTAAGCAGGAATGTACAAATTCAGATGTATATGGATCTGTAGTAAAACCTTTAGTCGATTCCTTCATGGAAGGTTTCAATGCCACAATATTTGCATATGGCCAAACATCTTCTGGCAAAACACACACCATTTTGGGCAATAAAACAGATCCTGGGCTTTTCCAATTAGTATCCAATCAGTTATTCCAGCATGTGGCAGACCAGGTTGATAAGAGGTACTTGATTAGATGCAGTTATATTGAAATCTACAATGAAAAGATCAATGACCTCCTGGATAAGAGCAATCAGGGTTTAACTATAAGAGAAGATATCAAAGGAAATGTGCTGCTTGATGCAAGGGAAGCTGTCGTAGACAATGTTGATAAAGTTATGGAGAACATGATGCAGGGCAATAAGATCAGACGAGTTGCAGCTACTCGCATGAATGAGAGGTCATCTCGATCACACACGATTTTCCGGATTATTCTGGAGTCGAAAGATGCCAATCAGAAAGATGGACCTGTACATATAAGCTACCTTAACTTAATGGACTTAGCTGGTTCTGAGAGAGTTTCTCTGACGAAAGCTGCTGGTGAGCGTCTTAAAGAGGGGGCTAACATAAACAAATCTTTGTCAGTATTAGGAAATGTGATAAGGCAACTAAGCGAGGGGAAGGAGTTTATCAGTTATCGCGATTCGAAATTGACTAGACTGCTCTCACAGGCTCTTGGCGGTAATGCCAAATCATTGATTATCGGGAATGTTACTTTAGCTGCAGAGGAGGAGACTAGATCTACACCAGAATTCGCCCAAAGCACTAAAACTGTCAAAAATAAAACGAAAGTAAACATCTTGTCAGCTACAGAAGAGACACTTCAAGGATATCAGAACTTGACTCGCGATCTCGAAACTCGGCTCAAAAAGCAGGCAATTAAGCTAAAAGAGATGGATAAAAGCAAACAAGAGTATCTGCTCGAGATAGAAAGACTAAAAACGGAAGTATCTATTGTCGGGCGCTTTCAAATGGGAGCCTCGGCATCAACACCGAAAAAAACATTAAGACGTCATACTTTTGGACACTATGGCAACGTATCACCTAAAAAAGCATCCCTAGGGTATATGCCATTGAAAAATTATCCACCCAAAGAAGAATCATCCGGACGTGAAATGAGGCCTATTCAAGAAGAGACATATGAGGAGGCACTAGCCGAAGCAGAATCTGTGATAGCTGAAGACGTGCAAGTGTACTTAAAAGACAACGCAAAGAACTGGAAGAATCTTTCAATGAGCTTAGAGAATTCACTAAACTAGATAATCAGCTGGAGATTTTGGACCTGAAGAAACAGCTCACAGAAGCCAATTCTAAATCGATCGTTACAGTCAGGAACTCCGCCAAGTAACGGATGCGTACAACGAAGAAATAGAAAGAGTTCAAAAAAATTCTCAAAAAGCGCAAGAATTTCATCGACTTGCAATACAGACTCGATTTTCTGGAAAAAAATAATAAAAAGACTAAAAACATACGAGTCAGAAATAGAGATGCTGCGTACTCAACTGAAGAACCTAGGAAGATCAGAGAGCCCTAAACCATCTCTTGAAGCTCAAAATATTGAGTCAAAAAAGAAGGTTGCAGACTTAGAAGCTATGCTTGACGCTGAGTACGAAGATATGCAAGATTCTTTAAGTGCTGCTACACAAACTGATGTAACGATGTCACACATTGCTGAACTGCAAGATGAAATTGGCTTCCTAAAAGAACTTGAATCTAAACTGAGAAATGACGTAAAGAGTCTGATGGACGAGAGTAACCAACGTGAGGTCAACCACTCATTTAAAATCTCAGATATACGATGCCATAATGATTCTACTATAAAAGAGCTTCAGGATCAAATGGCTGAACTGGAATGCCAAAACGAAATCTGGATTATGAAAAGTGCCCCTCTTTATAACCCGTGAAATAGCCCTAGTTCTAATTAAATTTCAGTTCAAGCTTCCAAAATGACTTCCGACAATATTAAAGTAGCCACAAAGATCAGACCAATGATCCACCGCGAAGTAGCCGATGGTCTAGAGCGTCTTTGGAACGTAAGAGTAAACTGCATATGGGAAGCCGATGAAAGTAGTCGCCATGGAGAGGTTTTATATTCGACCATGTATTTAAGCAGGAATGTACAAATTCAGATGTATATGGATCTGTAGTAAAACCTTTAGTCGATTCCTTCATGGAAGGTTTCAATGCCACAATATTTGCATATGGCCAAACATCTTCTGGCAAAAACACACCATTTTGGGCAATAAAACAGATCCTGGGCTTTTCCAATTAGTATCCAATCAGTTATTCCAGCATGTGGCAGACCAGGTTGATAAGAGGTACTTGATTAGATGCAGTTATATTGAAATCTACAATGAAAAGATCAATGACCTCCTGGATAAGAGCAATCAGGGTTTAACTATAAGAGAAGATATCAAAGGAAATGTGCTGCTTGATGCAAGGGAAGCTGTCGTAGACAATGTTGATAAAGTTATGGAGAACATGATGCAGGGCAATAAGATCAGACGAGTTGCAGCTACTCGCATGAATGAGAGGTCATCTCGATCACACACGATTTTCCGGATTATTCTGGAGTCGAAAGATGCCAATCAGAAAGATGGACCTGTACATATAAGCTACCTTAACTTAATGGACTTAGCTGGTTCTGAGAGAGTTTCTCTGACGAAAGCTGCTGGTGAGCGTCTTAAAGAGGGGGCTAACATAAACAAATCTTTGTCAGTATTAGGAAATGTGATAAGGCAACTAAGCGAGGGGAAGGAGTTTATCAGTTATCGCGATTCGAAATTGACTAGACTGCTCTCACAGGCTCTTGGCGGTAATGCCAAATCATTGATTATCGGGAATGTTACTTTAGCTGCAGAGGAGGAGACTAGATCTACACCAGAATTCGCCCAAAGCACTAAAACTGTCAAAAATAAAACGAAAGTAAACATCTTGTCAGCTACAGAAGAGACACTTCAAGGATATCAGAACTTGACTCGCGATCTCGAAACTCGGCTCAAAAAGCAGGCAATTAAGCTAAAAGAGATGGATAAAAGCAAACAAGAGTATCTGCTCGAGATAGAAAGACTAAAAACGGAAGTATCTATTGTCGGGCGCTTTCAAATGGGAGCCTCGGCATCAACACCGAAAAAAACATTAAGACGTCATACTTTTGGACACTA